TCTGGCTATGCCCTATGGGCCCTTGCAACATTGCAGTCAATACTCTGCCAGTAGAGATTGACATCACTGTGCCTATTGGTCTGATTGCTGAGATAGAAACTCATAGAGTTCCTGTCAGAAGTCATGTAGGGAGAGTTGTGGCTGGAGCCTGTAGCCATTCTAGTGGCATCAAAGGAGTCTCAAGCATAGTTTCCAATTCTGTGCTCTGAGAGGGCAGTAGAAGGAGCAGAGAATGGTTCTACACTAAAGAAGTTGCTGGAGAGATTCTCATTCTCATGATCTGGGACCAGAGGGAGGTACAGTGAGTTATGACAGAGAACACATTAGTGGTATTATTGGTGGTATCAGTGTTCTTCTTGTTCTGTCAGAAGAGTTTTCAAATTTGTAATCCTTGGGGCAGCTTCTGGTATTGTTTTTTGTGCAGGCTCATCAGTGGCTCAGACAGTCTCAGGAGGAAAGCCATGGAGAGGGAGGATGGGTGTAATATTTCAGGTTTGGCAATAGATTGTTTGAAGGCCATGATAATATCTGATTACCCAGATGGTAACAAACTGATTTCCTTGGCAAAGATATACAATAACAAAGAGTCCAATCAGGATGCCAATAACAGTGCTCAAGAGCTTGAAAAAGTCAGAGGTAATGTTGTGAGTTGATAGCATTCAGTTTCCTTTACCTCTAATATGCATAAGAAAAGAGAAGCAGGAAGCTTCAAGCTAACTATTAGATCTAACTGGCATGTAATCTGAACATGTGATAAACTAGCACTGTATTGTGTTCATACAGTCATATTAGAGTCCACTCAATATGTTCTGACAGGTGAAGTGCTTCAAGGCTAAAGACAAGCTAGGCTCAAGAGGAGATAGTGTGAGATAAACTTATAGCTCAAAGCTGGACTATTATAGTGAGAGCTATCCTACTTATATATGGTCTGAGTCATGATAAATATAACTACTGTCTATTGTACCATTCTGCACTATACTACTGGTTCTACCTGGTTGTCAGGGAGTAGACAATGGGGCATTTTTCATAGATAAGATGACCAAGGACAATAGCACTGCTTGTCTGTTGTGATTACATAATTTTCTATGCTCATGGATAAGTGCTTGAGATAAGATAGGTATCCTGATAAGATAAGAAACAAAAGTGATAAAATAAGGAAAAAATCATAACAATTTGTTTTACAAACAGAGGGATATGAGATGATGGAGGTTTTAAGGCAAGTTGAATGTATTTTTTGTGTCATAATTTTCACACTTTTACCCCTAAAATCATGACCTGCCAATGTTTAGTAAGCCAATGCTTATCTAAGCCCAACTATAGCATAGCCCCAACCATGAGGAAACTATGGATGACAATGCCATGACAATGCAACAAGCTGCATCTTACTCAATGCCACACAATAAACAGTTAGCAATAGCACAATAGTGGGCATTACTCCATGCCCTTTTTCTAGCAACCACTGTGGCCTACAATACCCTCACTATAGCAATGACATAGCAGAATGACAATAACATCCAACCAGATAGACACAGTTATTATCATTTAAACAATAAGATAGGACTATAGAGATGAAACAATAATTGCCTGTAGGGTAAAGGGTTCTCAGACAAGTATTTAAGAACAGTATCTTAAAGTGATGTACCACAGTCTTGAGCTAAAGTTTAATACACTTATCAAACTCTCTGACTATCTGGTGTGATTATCGCTGCCAAGACATATTCTACCAGCCTTGCCACTTCATCCCTCTTACCCACATCTTCATTGCTTATCTTATTATTCTTATTATTCTTATCATCCACCCTTCTATACTGACAACAACAGAACATCAGAATGGATCCCAGTGGAAGCAGTGCTGAATATTTGTAATTGTTTAATAGTGGCTTAATATTTTTCCAGATATAGAACTAGTGAAGAGATTTTGCATGTGTGTGAGATGAAAACTGATACAGCAGAGTGCTATCCACTGATCACAACCACACCAATATAAACATATAATACTTCTTAGTTCATTGGGGGATTATAATGTGATAAGAGAAGTTATAGCAAATATAATGGTTTTCTCAATGATCCACTATGCATAAATAGCAATAGCACATGTATAACAGCCTCAGATCTCTCTAAGTCTCAAAGCTTTTCATTTAAAAGCAAGAGAAGGCAATGAATATTACTGGGCCTCAAGGCAAGGATACTGTAGCTCAATACAATACTTCAAAACACACCCATAAAACTCTCCAATAGTCCTAAGCACTGCTTAGATCAATTCCAAATTCCTAAAACACACTGTACACAACTCAAAACTTCATGTTCTAGGCAGAAACACTTTTAAAATACATCCACAAGTGCTAAAGAGTTCAAACCTCTGTGCACAAGTTTTCAAACCAATCATAGACCCACAGGATTTGAACCTATGTGATCCAGAGACACAAAAACACAATAAAACCCTGTCTACAGATCCAAAGGGTTTGAACCTCTGCCACTTGTAGTGCCTCACATCACAAATATCTCAAAAACTCAAAAGAGTGCCCTTCAGACACTGCCCTCTTATTCTCAGGCTAGAGTGCAATTCAAAACCTCTTATTAACTTGAACTAGAGTCTCATGGAAGCTTTGATGCCTCACACAGTTTTCAGATCTCTCTTAAGGATCTCAATAGTTGGTTTATTCTCTTGCCTGAAGTTACAAACACAAACCCAGAGCTAGAGTGCAAAGCCTTCATCTCCAATACACTGCAACTGTGGAGGGTCAGAAACTTGTCTATTACTCTTACAATATGGTATTTAAATAGACTACTACTGTACTTACTAAGAGACACCAAATATAGTAATTTCAATGTGTGAAACTCCATTCTGGAGTCTCTCATGAGTCATTCACATGCATGTTGTTGTCTGACATCCATATTCTGCTCCAGGTTGAGACTGCATCTTCTGTTTCTATGCAATCTGACATCAGTTAGCTGATCTAGCTACAGGTCTCTTCACTTTCTTATCTCCTTGGGATTATTCTGCCACTCTCAGGATCTGTTTCAGGCCTCCAGGGTTATCTCTCATGTCTGGAGTCAGCCACAATTATTATATTCTCTAGCTAAGTGTCCAGATATTCTATCTTACTTGAAATGTGTATCATTTCTGGCCTAGAGCACATCAATTAATCCATCCCATGGTTATGCATCATATATCAGTACTACACAAAGTCCTGCACAAGAGTACTGCACACAGTCTCTCACATGCAAGGTCATATCTATAGTTCTGTGTGATTTCTATTCTTAATGCACAAGCTCTGTGCCATTATCAGTTCATTCAGTGTGAAGTACTGAGACTTCCTGCACAGTGTGACCCTTCAGTATTATTCTGAAGCTAAGTCATGTACTCTACCAATTGTCACCCAAGCCCATCATGGCTAGCCTTTCTTTTATTGTGCTCTAGCTCTATTTTGCTTCACATGCTTAATAGTACTTTTGTACTTAGTATGTAGTACTGTATTTCACAAAATTACATGCATAGACATGTTCAGAGCATGTCAGCAGACTCACTATAAATGGGTCTAGCATATTCTATATGCCAAAGAAACTCAGTGCTCATCATTTAGTATCTGATCTATGATTTGTAGTGATGCCCAGGCTGGGTGGGGCTGGTTTTTTGGGCTTTGGAGGGACAGGTAGTGACAAAGTGTGAGCCTGAGCCATTCAATGTACTATAGGTCCTGGAGGTATACATACCAGTAGATGGCCACAGTGTAAAGGCTTTCACTGGAAATAAATCAGAATTACATCTTCCCTGCAATATCCACCAAAGACTGAGACAAACTAGGTGGGCTTTGCATTCTCATCTTATATGTTCATTCCAAGGTTGCATGAAGTAACTATGCATGAAACAATTGTAGGAGAGAGACTGAAATAAATGGACAGAAATGTCAGTAAAGTACTTGATGGCTGCCTTTCTTCAATGAAAGGCTGGGTTAATAGGCTGACCATTAGAGATCAGACCCACACCAGTCACTCTGCAGCACCTCTTACAGATTTAAAGAAGCATGCAAGTAATCACTCACCTCTATTTGCTCAGCAACAGCTGATTCTTGCAGGCTATTTTCACAGCTGAGAAGGTTAACTTGTGTCTCATCAAAAGAGTAGTATCATCCCAATGCATCATCAAAATATTCTTCAGTATGCTTGTCATATATTCAGCTAAGATTTTGAGAATGCTCATCCTCAAGTTTAGCAGTACACTCCTTGATATAGTTAAAATCTCATGCTGATTGCCTTAGGTCAGCTTTTATGGCTTTTAAACTGACAAATTTTGAGAAGCATAGAAAGATGAAGACAAAATCTGAATAACTTACAATGAAATTTCGATTTTTTGATTTGCTATGATATCAGAGGCAATGGCATCCAATCTTTCAAGATGATCTTGGAATCAAAATTCTGCCCACTTCATTGAAAGAACTCAGCCCCTCAAGGTTGGAGGCAAATATGGATTGCTGTACATGTACTCCTGTGATATGATGCTTTTTGTCACACTGAACTTTTGAGAGAAAGATGGATATTGACCTGTAATGGGTGTTGATGGTGAAACTGAGCCTAATTTGAAAATGGGTCTATCTGGCTCAGTAAAACTCAGTCTGGTCACCTCTTTCTCAGAACTCCCACTGGTCCAAACTTTCATTTCTTACCTTGCTACTGGAAATTATTCCTAGCTCCTTTGTCCAACCTATGTGGATGGGAATAGGTATCACAAACTTAGAAAAATGAAAGAGCCCAATTTTTTTTCCCTTCTGACGCAGACCATTGCAGACTCAGGATATTCTGGTACTTACAAGCCATATTGTCATTCAGTGATTTCGAAATGTCCTTTGCTTCAGTTCAAACCATCTGCTTACTTCTCCATTCTGTGAATGCAAACCTATTTGGCTGTAGTCACAAATCATCATTTTTCAATAGTCACTCTCTGGAGTTATACTCACTAGCAAGTATATTCAATATGTTGTTCTGCCTATGAGTGCTGATGGCTGTTTTATATCCAGATTACCTGATCCTTATTACAGTCTGAGCTAATCAATGGTATATGTGTCTCTCAAGATATTTAATCTGTTGCTTGATACCATCAGGCTGTCCAACACACCACTATTCTCAGCCCTCCGGTTTCTCTCTCATTTCATTGGCCTACATGTCATGTTATACACTTTGATGTCATCCATCTACAGATTTATAGTCCTATTTCCTTGCTAGGTGTGTGAGGCATGCATCTACAATCTCATAATTTCTGTTACTCTTATCCATATGAAGCAGGCCATATTATCTTTCTAGTACCATTCGAATGCCTACTGAGTCTTTTCCATACCCAACATACCAATGATGTTTTCTCTTAAGCTATCGCTCTTACTGTTCCGTATGTGTCCATTTGTATGGTCAACGCATTGGCCAGAGAAGGTAAGTCTTTCTTCGACAATGCCGCTCTTGTTCTGACCAGAGTTCCCAGCCATTCGGTACTCGGTACAGTCCCAATGGCGTCCTGGAGGCCTACAATACCTTTGCAAGACACCGACCACTTCGTCACGTTTTCTATCCACCAATTCCGCCGAAAATGAAGCTAGCGGCGGATGCGAAAAAGCATATATTAGGTATTATATGACTTCGCCATCCAGATGGCATCTTCTTCATTCCCATGGCATTTGATGAAACAATAAAGAAGAACAAAATCTCAACGGCAAAGGATGTGAGGTAGACTATTAATATGAACCCATTACTCATCTATACTCCCATGTCCCCCGAGAACGGCGCTCTGCTGTGCGCGCTGGAGCTAAATCCCTCCATCTGTAACATTAGAACGAGGTAGTTACGGCAATGAGATGCTGTGAAAGGAGATAAGTACGGGGTCCGTGTTTCAGTTCATGAAATCCTGCTGTTTTCTAACAGTGGATGTTATGAAGGATACCATACCCCCACTCACCTATGCTCATAGCTGTGGTACTAAAGCCGTCCACTCTGTGAATAGAAGGGGGCTCACGGCACCATTGGAGCGCGGGGCGCGATAAACCTTATCTATCGTTCTTCGTCTTCATCAACTGGCAGCTGCAGTAATCACTTCCGGTTTTCTTGTATAATTTCATGGAGCTGCAACATTTGGTCTCTTGTCCAATGCCATATCCTGTACCGTATTTCCATTCGATGGCAGGAGTGCATTTGATACCACGCCCTCCGAATGTCCGCGCAATTCTCCAGTTGAACTATGTTGCGGTCCATCAGTATCACAATTGTCACCTGCCTATATTCGAATGGGATATTACCGTAACTATAGTGCGATAGGAATCGTTCTAACGTTTTTGCCAGAAGTGATGCCGGTGGTCTCTGAGCCCAGGTAAAGCATTCCTTTCGTGGAATGACCCTTTGATGAGATTTATCAAATATCCACAACTGTCCTCCCATTCGAGGTGAAACGCGTTCAAAGTTTCTCTTCTTAAGCGGTGCACCTGTTGCCGACCGTCCTTGACCATGCGTACCGCTATGTATTATGTCCTCCTGCCCACCATTGCCAATCTTGCGGTGAAGTTCATCGTGTGGACTTGTGCCCTATGAAACCCCGGTTGACTACAGTAAGGAATTTCATCTCGTGCTGTGAATCATAAGTATGAGCCCGTTTACGTATTGATTTTCTGCAGCTTACGAGATGACGACTTCCATTATGAATGGCCTATTCCCAAACCAGACACCATCTTGCTTGCTATCGAAGGTTCTTCTGAGCGATTCAAAATTAAAGGGGCAGATGCAGATGCGGAATGGGCCAGTCTCGTCCCGGACGACGGGCTTCTTTATCTAGGTGACCGACAGCGTCCTTTTACGCTGGGAATGTTCCACCAGCTGCAATGCCTCAACATTCTTCCCAAAAGCATTATCACTCATATCCCCTTTCCGACAGTGAACTTGTCGCCCACTGTCTGGATTACTTACGACAAATGGTAACCTGCCATTCTAACACCTCGCTTGAGCCAGCGACGGGTCGTAATGTGGAAGTCCATCCGGACGCTTATGTATGTAATGACTGGAAGGTTGTTTATCGAGAGGCAGAGCATAACCAGCGCGACTTTGAAGAGAATCGGCGGCGTCAGGACAAGAATCATTGTCTCGCGTTAGATTTTGACTCTAGTTCTACTTCGTCAATATAACAAAGCACGAGCCTCTGAAATTTATACATAATGCTAAGATTCATCATGACAGTTACTCAAGTACTCAAGGACCATATAAATTTATAAAATTTACATCGAAAGCCGATAACCAAATCCTAAAACGAAAAATCCCAGGACCCTCAGCTCCAGAGACTGAGGCATAGTAGGAACTATTCCGTACCACAAATATCTCTAGTCTTAAGCTTCGTCGACTTCATCCGAAGGCTTGTACAGTATCCTGGGTACCGTTGGCTCTGGAAGCACACTCCGTGCTACTACGATCTTGATTTATCAAGCTGGATACAATTCGTGAACTCAAGTACTCACCACCTACTACTGCGTCAGGCTTGGATCGACTTGGAGCGCAGAGTGACGACGTAGGCAGGAATGTCACCACAAAAGTCATCTGAATTAAGAGGATGGGAATAACCGCATTCATTTTTCACTGACGTTGGTGGTATGCGGGAAGGGTGGTAGATTGTGCTGCTTGGAACTTCGAAGATACGAGCCTATATACTGTCTGAGTCGGCTGTTATCGGTTGTCACTTACAAACATAAACTAGAATACATTGACAGGACTTAACAACGGCGGCATAAGTATTACAACCCGGCCTACATCATGATCAGATCAGGGCTACTCAAACGTTATCATGGATGGCAGACCGAGAATTATTCATGCGCTAGTAATGGTACAGTACTTATTCCTGACGCCTGGTCCGATAAGTTTCGATACTTACCCTTGATATCGGGCCGTCTTGATATCACCATCATGATGATTCCTCGGCAAAACTTCTGGGGTCTCAGCCACTTCCATTACCGATCATTCGATCATGATAACCAGAGATTCTATGCCCGAGACACATGAGTAGCGGCTGGGTATCAAGGAGCCACGTAGTCATCTTAGAAGAACATTTCTGGTTCTCTCGGATTTAGATACCGTCACCAGAATGTCCTTCTTTAACTTCCAAATTGTTTCCCCTACTTTTCTGACCAGTCTGTTCTTATAATTGAATTATATTACTGAGATTAAATCTCTTATTTCAGGTATTCAGCTCGATGAGATCGTCGCGATTGCTGTTCAAGCCTATGACACCAGTAAGTTATGAGCTCAAATAAAAGGCGCATCATCTTTATATATGACCTTCCTTTCAGACCCCACTATCTGTGCAATGACTGGCGGAAACAAGGCTCTGTACGATCCTTTTTTAAGAGTCGTAACCCGGGCACTGCTACGCGAAGGCAAGGTATGGCTCGCTGTTTTGGATGGTAAGATCCTTGGAGTTCTTGGAGGCTTCGGTCCGGGGACATTTCTTTGGGCAACGTCAGTTTCTCTTGGACCAAATATGTCATAGATGGTCATTTGCTCACGGTTTCACATTGCATTCTTAGAGAGGAACAACGAGCCTTAGGATTCAACTATGCCTATGCTCGCCTTACGGAAGAAACAAAATATTGGTGGCAGAATATTGTACATTTTTGAACCAGGTAATCTTTGGCATTCACTCAAGATAGGTTTCCTATTAGTATGGGCCGCAGATCAAGGAATTCGTGGATAACGCTCTTGGGGAAACCGTCTGTGCAGCTCCGTCTGGATCTCTAAGAAATTTGACGCACATTTTAAGGCAGATCTTGATGGATGGATGACACCACTGTTGGCGGTAAATCCGCCATATCAGCGCGCCATGGAATCGCGACCGCCATGTTCAAAGAAATGACCCAACAGGTGAGTCTTGAATATCATAGCTATTTTCCGTTCTCCAGGCTTAGAATGCCCCTTAGGCAATCCAAGATAAGGCTATCATGATAGTGGGTGCAGACAGCGATCTCAACGTAAGTGACATTCTGTGCACGGAACCGCCTGGGAATTTGTGAAAAATAAATCTAGGTCGGCATCTATGAGAGTTTCGGATTTAAATTTAAGGGTAGGACTGTTCTTCCGAGCTCTGTAAAGGGGGAGAGCCAGCCACTTTTTGCATTGAAGAAGATTCCTTAACGCAGGGTCTAATCATAATTTTTTGATGTTGTAAATAATCTATCCATAAACATTGACTTAACTGAAGAACGAGCAATAAGTACAAGTTACCCAGCCACGACCTTTGTTTATCCCCACGGTGTCACTTGATGAACAAAATGTAAGATTGTCATGGAAAATAATAGTGTACTTAACGCAACAGAAGAGCATAAATCGTAGGAACGGGATACAAAACATCAAAAGCAGAACGTAATAGTGGATCAATGAAAGAAGATTCAGTTGGCGACACGCGATGCCATTCAAACCATATTGTCACCGGACTCCTTGGTTGTCAGCACCACGACAATTTGAGCTCTTCCTTCGTTCGATGCCACAGCAGACGAAAAGGTTCCAGAGGTATTAACTCTGAAAGAGTCGGAGAACCTATCTACCATGTCTTTGTTCCATGTCATACCCATTGCTATGCGAGTAATAATGAGCTGGGGAGGAAGTGCCTGTAGACTGTCAATAGATAGAAATATCTATTGCGATACGTTGACTTACCACCATGACCCGAAATTCCGGCGAATACTTGCTGAGAGGGGCGTTTTACAGCAAAGGCAATAACATACACGATACCAGATATCGTGAAAGGAGCTGCAGACTCTAGCATCATGGCAGAGATGCTGGTGTAAGTGTTGGTCAGCTCAGAGGGAAGAGTTTCGCGGGAAACTTTGTGGAAGGACAACAGACGATAGCAGATAAGGGCGGTGACGATGACGTTGAACCCAACGGTCAAGCAAATCCAGGCGATAGCAAAATTAATAGGAAGACCAAAGAAGTGTGTCGATTCTGGGACCGCACTTTGGACAATTGTAATAACGATCATAGCTAGAGCAGAGTTAGCGATGATGAGTCTAATGACTTGCCGATCTCAAATTTACGGACCTGTTGATGCCAGCAAAACAAGAAAGGGAAAGCCTACCATCCAGATATTGGAATTATAGATTATGTAGCAACGATACAGCTGGGTTTGGAGTTATTTTAAGCATTTATTCCCAAGTATGCACATGTGTAAACCCACCAGAAGGCCGTCTCCCATGATATTGGCAAAGGACACGGAGGCAGTACCCCATATTTCGTACCAGTCCGAGGAATGGTCAGCGAAGTATGCTGGAGCGCCACCTGGATAATCAGGATGCTGAATCCATATGAGTTGTCCGAGTTGCATGTTGGTTCCACCTCCGACGGTAGTAAGCACTACGAATATCGCGCCAAAGAGGATATAGAAATTTCTCCACTTTTTAACTGGGTTCTTGAGCAAGTAAACGAAAGACTGCACATAGAGACAGATCTGAGCTCCTGAGACATGGGTAAGCAGCATCGTTCACTATCTTCACATGGAAAGTAATGACAGAAACACGTACCAAACACTATTGAGCCAACAATAATTGACACATAGATTGCGCGCTGCATCTCCAAATCAGAATTGGCCATTAGACTTGGAAGCTAAGGTGTCCGTTGATGAGGGATATCATTGAGAACATCATTCGTTTCAACTTGTACCTTGGGCTGTCACTGACTTCTAAGTTTAAGTTTGGAAGGAAAAATACCTACGACCACATGCTTACTCCGGTGATAATGATCTTGCCGCCCCTCTTCCCTACCATCATGATTCTGATTCGTATACGCCACGGTTGTATCTATAGTAGACCATGCCGTCCAATGTGATGATGATGAACTCCCAGTCGCCAGTCAAAACTATTAATTGACAGCTTCTGATTCCAAATCGATTTGCTCAATACAGGCTGTTAAAACAGTAAGTACTTATTTGACAAGACTTGCATGTATAAAGTTATGTAGATATCGGATACTGTACCAACCCCTCCATCCATCATGGAAATCATTCTCTCTCTTATACATCTCCCGAGTAACTGTTGTTTCTGAAATGGAAATGAAAGGGTATTCATATATACAAGCTGTTATTGCTGTCACGAGCATGGCCTCGCTATGTTTCTCATCATATTTCTTCCTATCGACATTCGATCTTCTTCAATCCTCCTCACAGTGATACAAGACATCTCCCATATGGACGGCGAGATCATAGTATGCCTTTTTTACTAGCAGACTGAGTTTCCGAACCTTGACTTGGTTGTAGCATTCATTTCAGATGACATCCCACTTTATTTTCCTTCGCAAGCTGGTTTAGCTGCCATGTTCATTGAAGAGACCGTCCATTACTCCTTTGATGATGCTGGCTACAATGAATGGTGGATCGGAGAAGCTGAGGGAAATGGAACAGTTCGATTGGGTTCCCAGAACCGCCTTTTCTTCATCTCTTTTTGGCATCAGTTGCATTGCCTGAAGATGATGCATGCAGGTCTCAAGGCCAAGGTCATGTCCCTTGATGACCTGCTGCATGCACAGCACTGTTTCAATCTTCTTAGTCAATGGATTCTTTGCCATGCATATACTGTCTTGGAACCAGATGACTTCACCCAAAGGAACTTCAAATACAATTGCAGTAATCAGTTACATATTTGCAACAACTGGAATACACTATATGCTGAGATATCTCAAAACTGGCATGATTGGGTATGAACATGGCAACTGAAGAACTTTAACACCACAATGTAAGGTTTATATCATTCATTCAGACAATTTCAACTGAATATGGTATCCAGGGAAGATAATTAAACACTGTATGACATCATGTGTAGTCATATGTATTTTATAGCATCAAAAATAGTACAAGGTGATGAACTTACACAAACTTGTAGTTTCAGCAAATGCATTGTAATCGAGGCATGAGATTGCCTAAGAATGGCATCATTTTGTTTGCTGCTGTAAATTATAGAAGTGCTATGGGTATACAGTCAGTGACCACCTAACTAGAAATGATTCGGACTACCAAACTCTGCAGTGCATTCACTGATAACATCAAGATAGCAGGGATAGTGAACACAGCTGAGTTCAAAAGTGAGATATGTGCCAGATGGGCAGTAGAATGGAGGGCCTTCTACTGCAAGTCTGCTGAAAGTACAGAGGAGAGTAAGGTACAGAGGATTGGATTAGCCTCTTGAGAGAGAGACATCATACTTAAATACATCTTGTACTACTTCAAGAGCTTTCTATGAATTACTATATAAGCCCTGATCACAGTCCAAGTCAGCTGCAACTGATTGACATAGTGTCTTCAAGTACTTTCAAGTACTTGCTCAGGATTGCTATCCTAACACTCTCCCTCAAATCTGAGTTCCTAGAATACCTGCAGATAGATACTCATGTAATAGTCTTGGTAGGCCTTCAGTGAATATATCTGCTAAGTTCTCCTCTGATGCAAAGTGCTGAACTTTGACTTTATTTGAAGCCATATGCTCATGAACAAAGTGATGCCATATGTCTATATGGTCTGATCATGCATGGAATATAGGGCTCTCAGCAAATTTGATTGCTGATTGATTGTTGATGAAAATGGTAGTTGCACCATGAGGTGGTAATTCTAATTCAGTTAAGAGTGCTCATAGCCAAATTACTTTCTGGGTTGTATGCACAAGGGCCATACACTCTGCTTCCATAGTGGATAAGGCTACAGTGAGCTGTTTCTTTGAGCTCCAAGTAACAGCTCCTCCTGCATAGGTACAGACATAACCAGATGTTGATCTTTTATCTGTTTTGTCTTCTCCCCAGTCTGAATCTGAATAAGGTATCAGTTTATCCATAGTCCCTCCATATGTGATACTGAAGTCTAGGGTCCCCTTTAGATGGTGGAAAACTTGCTTCAAAGCTGTGACATGCTCAGCAGCCAGATTCTGCACATACTTGCATAATTTGGTGACAGCATGTGTAATGTCAGGATGTCAAGTGGGGATCCATTGGCTGCATACATCAGATATCTGACATCAGTATGATAATATTGCCTGATGGCTGTATCAATGCCTTGTGGGTCTCCTGTCAGAATTTTCTCTAGCTATACATTTGGGTCTATAATTATTTTGACTGGTTTACAGTCATTCATGCCCATTTACTCAAGTACTTTTAGAATATATACCCTCTGGGATAGGGTGATAGTGCTCTTGTCCCAATTCCTGTCTATCTTCATGTCCAATATGTCTTGAATCTCCTCTATATCTATGATATTTAGCTTTTTCTTAAGCTCTTTCATGTTAGACATGGTTTCATCATCCAGAGCAAACAGTGTCATGTCATTGACATGTACAGCTATGATTATGGGACCAGAACTCATTTGTCTGATGTACACACATTGATCACTGATCAACATAGTGTATCCTAGTCCCAAAAATGTGGCATTTAATTTGTCATTTCAGACTCAGCCAGATTGCCTGAATCTATAAGTGTTAATTTGAGGTGTGCCACTTTTCCACTCTCATCTGAATATTCAGGTGGCTATGCCATGTAAATGGATTCATTGAGTTTACCATTTAAGTAAGCTCCAACAACATACATTCTATGAATGATCAGATTTCTTTAGGCAGCAATTGCCATAAGTAGGTGAAATGTGTCTAATCTGACAACAGATGCATGTGTCTCAAAGAAATCAATTCCAGATACCTGTGAAAATACTTTTGCAATGAGTTTGGCCTTATACCTGGTGATTTTCTCATCACCATCTCTTTTCAATCTGTAAGTCCACTTGCAATCCACAAGAGATCTGTCTTTGAGTAATTCTTTCAGCTGCCATATGCCTAGAGAAGTCAATATATTGTATTCTTTATCCATTGCTTTCTTCTAATAATGCCAATCTGACCTTGTCTTGGCTTCTTCAAGACTTAATGGCTTATCACTGAGGTTGTCTGCAGTTTTCCCAGCACATGCATAGTCTATTGCAATATTTTCAGCTTCCAAAGATGATTCTTCTGAGGTGTGCTGCCATTTCAATGTTTTCACAGCCTGTGTAGTTAGGTTATGAAGTGTCCAGTAACTCAGTTGAGTTATTGATGCAATCTGGATTGATTTGTCATGTGGCTTAATCATCTTTCCATACCATATAGATAACTTTGATTTGATTGATAGTATATCAAGAGATATTTCCTCTTTTGATTCAGCATTTCTAGCATTCATGAAATCATCTGAAATATCATCATTTCTATCTAGAGTCTGCTCAACTTTGCTCTCTGACTCCTCCTTAGCAATGAAGGGTGAAAACTACATAGTCAATATCTGTAGGCTCTGTAGTGTTGCATTTTGAGAATATAACATTTCTTGAAGTCTGAATCTGTCTCATTTGAGTTATAATATCTCTAGGCCCTAGATTCATCTGTGAGATCTATAAAAATAAAATTTCTTGACTTTAGGTCTAGTTTTGACCTCTTGTTGTCTTGCTACAACACTCAGCACTTTACTCAAAACTCCTGAAGTGCTAAAATATTCAGTTTCATATCCTAAAACACTTCTTCTGGAGTCAGATCATTTTTGATAGCTTTGGTTGATGATCAGTTCTTCAGGTACATAACATATACCACTGCCTCAGACTGTAGAAATTTTAGTAAGTGACATTCTTTCAGCATGGCATGTGCATGCTCCACAAGAGTCCAATTTATTCTCTCAGCAACTCCATTTTGATATAGGGAGTATGCTGCAGTCAATTCCAACAGTATGCCATTCATTATCCTGGAGGTATTCTTTTACCTCTTCATTGACATATTTCTTTTCATTGTCAATTCTTATAAACTTCAGATTCTTTTCTTTATGGACTTTGATGTATTTTTAGTACTGCTGAATCTTTTTTTAGATTTTTATACCTTGCTTTGACTTCAGAAAATACAACATTGTCCTCTGGGATTTCTCACCTGTGAAGCTTATATAATACTTTTTGCCATGGATACCCTGAGTTCAGGCTGGTCTCCACAGATCTGAAAATGTCATTTCACCTATTTTGGTGTAGTCTCTTTTAGCTTCATGCAGAAATAGCTTGGTATGATGCTTGGCTTTTATGCAGGCTTTGCAATCTGTCTGAAGCTCAGCTGACTCATTTTCATCCATCCCTTTGACTGTTTTTTTTATAAACAGTCTCTTTACTGATTCTATATTTAAGTGATCTAATATCTTATGCCACTTTTGCTATGACCAGACTGGTTTATAGCATAGGTCTGAGTTATTTCTGAAGCAATGATGCTAAGGCTGTACAGCTTTCATATCTTATCTCTATAACTAATTGTCTTGCCACATGGTGAGACAATATCCATCTGAGACTTTTTGAATTTGAGTTCAAACCTGGCATCTGTGATGTGTTATGATTTCTCTGCTTTCCTTTCTTGATTAACCCCTATTTATGCTTAGTCAGAGTGCCTAGACCAGTGCTTAGAACCATGGAACAGGCTTAGTCACCATAATAGGCCAAGTCTGCTATTGTTCTCTGACAATGATGATGCCTCTTGACAATGGACAATACTCTTTTGTAGATAGTTGTGATGCTCAAGAACAATGAGCATCATAATCTAAAAACACACAATTAGTAGGAATATATTTATCTTATGGACAAATAGTATATAAGTAGTGTAGCTCTCACTGTATATCCCCAGCTTTGAGCTAAAGTTTATTTCTTCACCATTCTACTTTGAGCTGACTTATATTGGCCTTGAGATATAACATCACATAAGTACAGAAGTGAACTTAAGCATGACTGTACAAACTCAATACAGTGCCTATTTATCATGTGTTTAGGTCATGTGTCACTTGGGCTTAATAATTAGCTTGAAGTTTCTATCTTCTCTTTTCTTATGCACAATATGCATGAAGAAAACTGAATGCCACCATTGAACACATCAACTTCTGATCTCACAGATGACTTTTTTAGGCTTTTAGCCTCCATCATTGAGATGCTTCTAGGGCTTCTAGCTATCATCTAACTTTGTCAGAGATGACAATCAGTAACCACTTGGGTAGTCCTATTAGATCCAAGTCACATATGATCAGAACATGTGATAAACTAGTGCTGTATTATATTTGTATAATCATGCTAGAGTTTACTATATATATCTATTGACCAAATGCTTCAAGGCCTTTGCAAATCAGCTTGAGAGTGAAGTGGTATAGAATAAACTTTAGCTTAAAGCTGAAAATATACAGCAAGAGCTATTCTATTTATATACTGATTGTTCATTGAGATATTAATACTACTACTTATTGTATCTGTTCAAGTCATTGTGTTCTTTGTCTTTGAGCATTGTTACTATCTACAAAAGACTGTTGTGTGTTGTTGAAGAACAATGATAGACTCAGTTTGTTGTAATGACTAAGCTGATCTCATAATTCTAAGCACTGATATAGGTGCTCTGACTAAGCATAAATAGGGGTTAAGTCAAAGAAGAAATAAAAAAATCATAACATTACCTCCTCTTTAAGACTATCATCCTAATGGCTTAATTAAGGGATAATTTATATTTATAAATAGCATCCACAGCATTCATCTATTTTTTGTTAATCCATTGGTTAGACTCTGAGTCATAACCCTTGCAGCTAACCAAGTAGTCAACTGTAGTCATCATTCCCCTCCCACATGCATGTACTTTTTAGAGAGAGTGATTTAAGATTTGATCAATCTCATAGTGTTCTTTGTTGTCGATCAGATCTGATAGCAG